CCCCCTGATCTTCCTCTGTCTGCCAGTGAGGTCATGCCCCTCGCCACTTGCTCAGCGCCCAACACACACGTGGGATGATTGCCGGTGATCTGGTCATTGGCAGATCGCCAACAATCGCGCCTCGAATGCATCGGGAGCTTCACAAGCACCAGCTGACACGACCCCCACCGACTTGACACCGTACACCACCACACCACACACGCATCAAAACGCATCAACATGGATGCGTCACATCAATCCCCCGATCATGCAATCAAATAACGTCAGATGTCGGAGTGCTGTCGCCGTCCTCGGTGGATATAGCGCTACTCGTGCCCCCAGCCCCCCCACCGTTGGTCTTGATCTCAGAAGGCGCCCCTCCCCTGCCCGGCTTGCCCTCCCCGTCCGCCCCGGTGCTGCTGCTGGTGCCCTGCTGCAGGCCCTCCATTTCCTCGTCATTCTGGGATTGCTCGAACATCTCGCGGTCCTTCTTGGCACGGGACACTCGCTCGTGGATCCACAGAGTCAGCCAACCGCCCGCACACTGACGTGGCAACACACACACAGAGAAAGAGAGAGGGTGTGTGAGAGGGGATGGGCTTAAGGGTGTTTGGTGTACCAGCATAGCGAAGCATGTAAGGAAGATGACGGCTGTGGAGAGGTTGCCGGTTTGTGTGCAGATGACGACCACGATGAGGTTGAGCGGCACACGGTAGAAGTTGAGGATGGTCGCGCGGCCCTGGTCGGGCACGATCGACGATCGCAGCGTGTAATACGACGGGAAGTACACCCCACAGCACACCTATACAGAAAGAGAGAACCACCACAAGTGGCTTGCGTCTGGCTGGGTGTGGTGTGGTGTGGTGTGGTGTGTGTTTGGGCATTCATTCTGATTGCTCACCTCGAAGACAAGGAACGCTGCGAGTCGCGTGTTGGCGTCGTCCATCACCGCCGGCACAAGCAGCGACGGGGCGCCCACACAGAAGGTATAGAGCAGGATCATGGTTAGTGGAACCCCGCGATTGCTCATCTGCAGGCAGACAGAGAGGCAGGGAGGGAGGGAGGGAGGGAGGGAGAGAATGGCGCATTTGCGAATGTGCAGCTTGTTGGTCGCTTGCCTCTGAGAAGATAGCAGATCCGATCATGATAGCGACCATGAAGCACGAGAAAACCAGCCCGTGGTTGATGTTGTCGGGCAGGCTCGGCGTCCACATAAACACAAAGGTGTACATCGCCCTGATCACACACACACACACCCCACACCAGTCCACACCCCTCCCTCCCACCTCTCCCATATTTGATCGACAGACAGACTGACCCCTCAAAGAAGCTCTGGACGAATCCGCAGGCCAGCACCTCGGGCCGCTCCTTCATGACCGCAATGGCGTCCGTGACGTTGGTCTTCATGGAGCTGTCGCTGCTGCTGCTGCCGTAGTTCTCAGGCCACGTCAGCACGATGATCGCCGCACCAACCAGCAGTGACAGCAGCGCCACGTCAAAGGGAGCTACCTTGCCGAAAATGTCAGCCACGTAGGCCGCGATGAGGCCCCCGATTATCGCCACGAGGCCGTTGCCAAATGTTGCTGATTCGACAGAGAGAGGGAGAGGAAGGGCAGTGAGTGAGGATGTGTTGTGGTACCTCTAGAGAAGGTTTGTCCGAGCCAATCTTCTTGGAACTTCCTGTGGTGGTGTTCGTGCACCATCCACGCGTCGAAGCCAGAGAAGAGAATCGACGTCGCTATACCGGCGAACAGCCGACCTGCACACACACACACACACACGAGCATCAGAGAGTCAGAGTTCTCCGTCCGTCCAATTGTTCCTTTCCATCTGACCGAGCAGCAGGATGGCGAAGTTGTTGAAGTGTTTGGTGATGCACGAGAGGACGTATATGGCGGCGAAGACTATGCAGATGAACCGCCGCCCGTAGCTGTCGGCTATCGACCCTATGAACACCCCCATTATCCCACTCGCACCTGCAATACATTCCATCCCAACACAACCACCGCGAGTGAGTGAGTCGACACACAACACACAACACCAACCACCGCCACACGTGTGCACACACCTACTTACCGAAGCCGACAATGAAGAGCACGCCGATCTCGCTCATAGAGAAGCCGTACTCCTGGTACAGCGCGTAGACGTAAGGCCCCTGCAGCCAGTCGGCCAGCATCATGACGTAGTAGACGAGCAGGTAGTTGCGCTGGAAGCCCTTGAAGGCGTATTGGTTGGCGGGCACCAGACGGTCCGTCGTCCACAGCCGCCACTGCGCCGCGCCAGCCACGCCAGCCAGCACCAGGAACACCGGGAGATGCTCCAGGTTCGCCATCTCTGCCCCCTAGTCTCTGCCTGCCGGGCTGCTGGCGGGGCGGTGTGCGGCAGGGAAGAGAAAAAAACGGAGAGAGAGGGGAAATGGGAGCTGGCCGCCCTCAACAGGTCAAGCGACAGGTGCACATTGGTAGAGGATTAGATGCACCGGTTGAACACAAGAGGGTGAGAAACCCTGCGAGCTTTGATATCGTGCGGTGGGGGCCAGGGCGTCTCGCCAAAGATCGGCGTCTCATCCCTCCAGCACTTCTAGAAGAGAGAGGTGAGGTGCACGACATCAACGTACTTGTGCAGTGGAGGCCATGATTCCCTCGTCGTCCAATCCCTCTCTCTTCGCCGCAATGCCATCTGCCGCCAGCCAGTTCCAGGCCACCAGCGGCGTCGGCTTCCTTCCCGTCACCCCGCCAACCGTGCTTCGCCAGCCACTGCAGCACGTGACTGTGACGCCGCCTGCGCTGCAGGTGACCGCCACACTGCCGGTGGGCCAGGTGTCTCACAGCACGGCCTCCTCCTCGTCTCGGCGGCCGCCCATCTGTCCTACCATTAACAAAGGGAGCGGCAGTGCAGACAATAATGAGAATAATGAGAATGGGAGGAATGCGGTTCACCGTCGGACGACCACCCCGGTTCACAAGTCGACGTCTCAGTTTCCCCCCACTCCCTCTGTCCGCCATGAGGAGGACAGCGCCTCGCCCAAGGCCTCGGTGTCCATCGAGTCGTCGCCTGTGAGGGTGGAGTCGTCACCGGGTCCCGTGCGGTCGTCATCGGTTCCGCCGCGGCTCTTCTACCCGCAATTTATCCCTCCCCTGGCAGCTGGTCAGCAATACCCCCTGCAGATGATGGTGCCCAATGTCATGCAGATGCAGATGCCCAATGTCGGCGGCTTTGGCGGCTTTGGCGGCTTTGTGCAGCAACAGCAGCAGCCTGTGGCTCACTCACCTCTGGTGGGGAGGCAGACGCACCAGTGGCCCTACCATCTCAATGTCAGCCAGATTCCTCCTTACTCAACTCTTGGCCCCCCACCTGCACCGTCACATGGCATGGGCATCCCTTCGCGCCACCACTGCACCAACGCCAATCCGTCCTGCCCACCACTGGTGCGCCGCCGACGATACGAGACCCCTCCCCCGCCCCCGCCCCCGCCCCCGCGGCACATCATCATGCCTGTCAGTCACTACCCCGTGAAGCGCGGCGTCAAGATGGAGGACGGGGTGCGTCTGATCCGGCCTCTCGTGTACGGGAGGGATGCGGCTGTGCAGTGTCAGCTGCTGGTCGACAGGGAAGGCCTGGGGCAGAAGAAGCTGGGGCAGCAGAAGCAGGGGCAGCATTTGCAGCAGGGCATGAAGAAGCTCACGAGCCTCAGCACCGAGCCGAGCTTGCCTGAGGAGGGCGGGGGAGGGGGAGGGGGAGAGTCTACGGCATTCGCCATCAGGAACAGGCGGAAGAAAGACGGCGTCGACGGCATCAACCGCACACCGCCTCCCCCGTACCACATGCACCACCACAGCATCAACAACAACCTGCTCTTCTTCCCTCGAGCAGTGACCCCCTCGCCCCCTCTCTACAAACAACAGCAGCAGCAGCAGCAGCAGCAGCCCATCCGGTTCGACACTCCCCTGGCCTTGCCCAAGAGCCGGCAGATGCAGTGGACCCCCGAGCTAGGACAGAAAATCCCCCAGCCGAAGCACTACCCCCCGCCGTCGCCCCCACTGCCCACTGCGAAGGAGATCGATGGTGGGGCTGAGATGGACGTGAATGTGAATGTATTGGAGCCTCCAGACCCGTTGCTGACGGACAGCTATGTCAAGGGCGGTGTGGGTGTGAGGAAGGGGCTGAAGCGTGTTGACGCCAAGAGGGAGAGGGAGCACAAGGGCCTGGGGGTGCTGGGCAAGGCCAAGAGTGGCGTTGGCGTGATGAGGAAAGGCAAGGCCGCCGCCGCTGCTGCCGCTGCTGCTGGTGCCGCTGTGCTGGCGATTAGAGACCAGCCGACAGCAGAGAGTGTCAAAGAGCGACAGCCGCCGAAAGAGACACAGGCACAGCAGGAGGAGTCAGAGGCGTCCCAGGCGCCGATCCCACTGGCAGTCACCCTCCCGCCCCCCCTGCCCCCTCCTTTGCCTGTGGACATCATGCCCAGCACGACCGTCCTCGAGCAGACACGCGGCCTCGTCAATGAGATCGAAAACATCACCCGGCCAAAGACTCCCACACCCATTTCCGACCGGCCTAGCCTTTCCCTTCACTCGGCCACTCTGCGGCAGTCCAAGTCGTCCGTGTCTGTGGTCAAGGTGCCGCCCTTCGCCACTCCCATACACCACATCAGACACCAGACGCCAGACGCCAAGAGTGAGGCAGAGGTGTCCGACAGCTGCATGTTGGTCAGCAACAACAGAAAGAGGGAGCCGATCACCATCCCCCGGCTGTCCCTGCCTGTGAAGGAGCCGCCCCGGGGTAGCAAGAAATCCACGACCCCCACTGTCTCTCTGACCATGTCGATGCCCACCAATACCAATGGGCGCCCCAAGCAGCCGAGAATGGACAAAGACAGAGTGGTCCGCCCACCGCCGCCTGCCTCCAAATTGAAGGCGCCTTCGGTGAAGGCGCACATTTCACCTTCGTCCCTGGCGGCTGGGCAGCAGCGGGTGAAAGCTGCCGGGGGTGGTGGTGGTGGTGGTGTGAGGGGCCCGGCTAAGGGCAGCGCCATATCTCTGGGCACGTTGAAGGTGCTGTCGCAGCGATGCTGGTACGCAAAGCCAACATGAGACACGGGGGACCGTACCATGCCTTCCTTGATGTGTCTGTCTGCGTGTCCTGTGTCTGTGTGTCGTGTTAGTCTGTGCAAGGTGCCTGCCGGTGTGGCGGTTCGGCATCTGGGGGTTGCGGCGGGGGCGGAGGGCGAGATAAAGAGTTCCGTCGGCCCCGCAGATTTCATCACAATGACCAAGGTGAGGTGACGAAAGGGCCGGCAGATCTATGTATGCATCTGAAGGCAATGTGGGTGTGGTGTGGGATGCATTTGGTAGGATTTGCTGAACACATTGGGTGTGGCCGTGCCCTCCGACGAGGACCTGCTCAGTCAGACACACACTAACTAAGGAAGAGAGAGCAGACAGCAGAGACACTTACTTCTTACATCCACTGGTCTCTGCTGTGTTGTGTGTCAGGTGTGTTCAAGATCGTGCACGCGGCTGCTGTTGGCGAGTGCGACCACCCATCCCACGCGCCACAGCCACAGCCACACCTTTCATCGACCAAGAGCCTCTCGCCGCTGGAGGCCTCATGCGTCATCGCACTGCTATGTGGCGGACCCAGCGAGACCAAAATGCGAGGTGGGGTGTGGTGTGGTGTGTGGGGGGTGTAATCATTTGACCTTGGTTCTGTGTGTGTGGGTGTGTCGTCAGCGATTTACGATTTGTTGGACAGTTCTGCCGAGGGACTGACAGACCAGCAGCTCAGCCAATTCCTGAGAATCGGTCGGCACACACAGACACACACACACACGTGTCTGTCTCTTCTTGTGTGTGTCTGTGTATCTGTGTGTGTGTGCAGTGTTTCGTATGCTCTTGTCGCCCGACAAGCTGCGCATCGTCTGTCTCAGACGCCAGCTGCCCATACAGACGGTCGGCCAGCAGCACACACACCCACACCCCGTCACATCACACAGAATGGACAGACACCTGAGCGGCTGTGTGTGGTGTGTGTGGCAAGGCTGATGAGTTGGCGGGTCTGGTGGCCAAGGAGGCCTTCGGCGAGATCGACCCCAACAGACAGGGCACCAGGATGTCATTCGAATCGTTCCAGACATGGTATGTACTGCCTGGCCAGCCGCCAGCCAGAGACACCACCTCCAGACACACACACGTGTCTGTCTTTATGAAGGTGCAACATGCCTGATGCGGATGACCACAGCAGCACTACCACCAGCAACAGCAACAGCAGCAGCCAAGCCGCATCGCCCCCTCCCCCGCCCTCTCGCCCCACCCCACAAGCAGCAGCAGCAGCAGCAGCACCGGCTGTGTCTGTCTGCCCAGGAGCGGCGGGTGAGACACTTGACGCCTTCATCGAGAAGAAGAGTCTGGGTGAGGCACAGCCGCTGCTGGGGAGTGGTGGTGGTGGTGGTGCTGGGGGTGGGTGAGTGAGAGTGTTCAGGATGGGATGAAGGGTGTAGTCTTTGTTTGGTGTGGGTGTGTGTGGACTGAGATGACGTCACATGCGATGAACGAAGGAATCACGTGCAGTCGCTCGAGTACTCGCCCACAACACCCAGTATCTGAGGTCCGTCTGATGCGTGTGATGCGCATATGACGGATCTCAGGCACCGGGGGCTGTGGAAGAACACGTCAACACGACTTGTCCAATGGATGAATGAATGTCACACGCTCACACCAGACAGATACTGGCAGAAAGTCTCTGTGTGGCACATCCGTCTCAGGCGGCGGAAGCGATGGCAGAGGACACCGACCCGCAATGGTCACACTCACACCTGAAAACACACACACGCGTGTACGGGACAGTCATTCTTACATCCCTCCCTCCCTCCTGTACGATAGGCACCCCTGCCATTCGCGGCAGCCACACTCGACATGGAATACACACATCCCCGCTCCAGTCTATACAGGTCCCTTGTCCCTCTCCCTGCCCACCCTATCGGTATTCTCATCTCCCCCTACCCTCTCCCTCTCCCTCTCCCTCTCTTGGTCTTTCACGGTCTTCTCGTCCTTGTGCTCATGGTCATGATGCCCATGCGTGTGTGGATGGGTGTGTGTCGGGGGGGGTGGGGGCGGTGGCTCGGTTGCCGGGTGCTGTCCTGGGGGCGGGTGTGCGATTCGCTGGGCGTACGCGATGGCGCCCTGGGGGTCGTCACGCACAAGCATGAAGAACCCCTGCAGCTCGGCCATCGCTGCACACACACAGACACACACACACACACACACGGACAAGGGATAATGGGTGGATGCGAGAGAGAGTGTGTGTGTGTGTGGGAGGGGGGAGGGGGTACAAGTACTGAGCGGGGTGTCTTTGAGTACTCTGACGAATTCGTCGGCGAACGACTCGTGGCCGGGGAAGAAACGAACATACTGAACACCGATCCACAGACACATCGATCACATCCACATCAGCATCGGCATCTCGAGTGAGTGGTCTGCCAGAGTCAGAGTGAGTGTACCATTCTCCTCAGCTGTTCAGGCTGCGCCAGCCCCACGAAGACCTTCATGTCCACACGGCCAGGCCGGATCAACGCATCGGGCAACCTGCACACACACACACAGAGATGAGGATGAACAGTGAGTGCGTCGTGGGTGAGAATGTGGTGTAGTGTGTTCGATTGCAATCCTTCCTTACACTTCATATCTGTTAGTGGTCATGAAGATGATCCTCTCCTCCGTCGCCGCCACGCCGTCCAGCGCGTTGAGCAGCCCGCTGAAGCTCACCCGCCTCGTCCCGAACTGGTGCGCGAGGGCGGCAGCGTGACTGTGGTGTCCGCCCTTCTCTCTCTTTTTCGTATCGCCCTCTTCGCCCTGCAGACCAGACCACATACTCACAGGAGACTGTGCCAATGGGGCGAGGAGGGGCGAGGGGGGG